TATGTCATCTCAAAAACTAAAAACAAAGAAAGGTAAAAGGAAGGACGGTAGGAAGGAGGGAAAAAGGGAGGGAGGGAGGAGGGGAATTTCATTATGTTCTTAGACTTACATCCACAAATCATATTGAATCTGTTTAATTAAAATTAAAATGAACATAATAAAAGACCTTTGAAGTCTTCCCATGACCCACTTCCCCTCCCTCCACTTTCTCACCTTCCAATATACCCATGAGCATAGGCTCATAAGATGACATATTCCATTTAGATGACACCTCATGGTTCTGTTTATTCAACAAGAAATTCTCATCTGCTTTAGAATAGAGGCCCTCGGGAGATCTGACCACAGGAGAGCTTTAGGCTAAGGAGAAAATGCTTAGGTTTCTGAAGGACCTTCCTGAGAATTAGGAAACTTCAGGGTTACAGATTCTGGCCTCAATGAAGGGGAATTTCCACAGTGCCTCCAGGCAGCAATGGAGAACTCTGGCTACAGCCAGAGATTTCTCTCTTCTAGATTAGGCCTCTCTGCAAGGTCACCAGGTTATAAGCTTGGAGCTCTTAGCCTTGGCCAAGGCAGTGATGGCTCTGAGGGCCTCCCAGTCACTTCGGAGTCCTCATCTGGACCCAGATTCAGTTCCCAAGCTTTCTATCATCCACAAACATCATTCAACACAGTGATGCTGGGGCCAATATTGTAGCACAGCAGGTTAAATCACCAACCCCAATGCTAGCATCTCATGTGACTGCAGGTTCCTGTCCTTGCTGCCCACTTCTGGTCCAGCTCTGTGCAACTGTACCTGAGAAGGCAGTGGGTGATGACCCAAGTGCCTGGGCTCCTGCCATCGGTCTCGGTGTGGAGACCTGGATGGAATTCCAGGCTCCTGGCTTTGGCCTGGCCCAGCTCTAGCAGTTGTGGCCTTTTTGGGGGAGTGAACCAGGGGATGGGTGATCCCTGTCTGTGTCTCTGCCTCTCTGTAACTCTGCCTTTCAAATAAATAATTTTTTTCAGAAAAATGAAAAATAGAAAATACCTCCTAAGTGCTAGTTATTCTTTAATGATTCAGATAGCACCATGCACTAATGCCATCTATGGGATCAGTGATAATGTATGATTTTGTGTATTTGGTCCAAGTATACATATTAAATCTTTTTTTTGACAGGCAGAGTGGACAGTGAGAGAGAGAGACAGAGAGAAAGGTCTTCCTTTGCCGTTGGTTCACCCTCCAACGGCCGTGGCAGCACCACGCTTATCCGATGGCAGGAGCTAGGTCTTCTCCTGGTCTCCCATGGGGTGCAGGACCAAGGACTTGGGCCATCCTCCACTGCACTCCCTGGCCACAGCAGAGAGCTGGCCTGGAAGAGGGGCACCAGGACAGAATCCGGCCCCCTGACCGGGACTAGAACCCCGTGTACCGGAGCCGCA